AATAAAATAAATAAAAATGCCTTCATTCCTGAGATAAATACAAATAGGTCTTGATTACTGATGGAAAATACCTTTTCCCTGCTTCTGATGCTTCTTTCCTGCGAAGAAATCTGTTTGTATAATCATAGACTCTCTCCATTTTATCCACTAAGGTCCTAAAAAGATGGTATGATATATCTGATTGGTAAAAGAGAACAACCTGGCATGCTCTGTTCTGCCCATATTCTTGGCAGCAGCCAGCCCACTGAATCCCTCACTCCCCTGCATTCCAGATGCACTTTCCCACCACATGCAAGATGCATGTTCCTATCTCTGCCATCAACACTGGGTGGAAAAGCTATCTGCTTATGGCATTCACTGACAGCAAATAACTTGACTAATAAAAAATTTTTCGGGGTGCCTGGCTGGTTCAATCGGTAGGGCATGGGACTCCTGATCTTGGGGCTGTGGGTTTGAGCCCCACGTTGGATGTAGGGATTACTTAAAAATAAAATCTTAGGGGTTTCTGGGGAGCTTAGTAAGTTAAGCATCTGCCTTCGGCTCAGGTCATGATCCCAGGATCCTGGGTTTGAGTCCCCCGAGTCGGGACTCCCTTCTCCATGGAGATCCTGCTTCTTCCTCTGTGTCTGCCCATCCTGTTTGTGTTCTCTCTCTCTCAGATAAATAAATAAATAAATAAATAAATAAATAAATAAATAAATAAATAATCTTTTAAAAAATAAAATAAATAAAATAAAATCTTAAAAAAATAAATTAATGAACTTAAAATTTCCCCCAGGTGTCCAAAGGTGATATTATGGTCCCCATACAGACACTATCTTTTATTTATCAATTTGTTCAAATCCTGGAAAAGGAAGAGAATAGCTATTTTCTAGAACCTTTTTGAGACCCTATGAATTGTTTAATACATGGATGGATTTGTTCAGTGAATGTCTATTTAAACTGTTTGCATCTAAATTCACAAATGAGTTTGGTTCTAATTTTCTTTTCTCATATTTTACTTATTTTGGTTTCAATGTTATATTGACATGAATTGGAGAATGTTCTTTACTGTGATTTTCAGAAAAAGTTTGTATAATATTAGAATTAGTTGTTCATAAATGTTTGATATAACTTTCCTATAACATAACAGGGACAGTGTTTGTGTGAGTAAATTTTAAAATAGCAAGTAAAATCATTTAATGGTTTAAAAATATTTAAATATTTCACATGCATACACACACACACACCAACTACTAGCACTCTCTATCCACTTAATCTACTTTCTTCTAAAAAAATTAAGTAAAAACAAAATAACTTTTTCAAATTATATGGATGAAATAAAATATGGTTCAACAAACACCATGTAGTAGCAAGCCAGTATAAAATGGAAACTAAGTTTTATTATTATGTTTGACTCTCCTGGGTAAATGAACAGAGGCAGGAATGGGCTTTATTCAATTTTTTTTCAAAAAAACAAACCAAAAGGCAAAAAATGATGAATTATTATTCTAAATTTAAAGATTCCTGGTCTATGAAGAATACTATAGACAAAGTTAGTAAATAACAGAATGTGAGAAAATCTTTGTCAAGTTAACAACAGAGTGTTCAAATCTACATAAAAAAGCATCCATCCATAAATTAACTCACAGAGATATTGACAAAAAATATGATTCCAAAATTCTAAGAAAAATATTCTACAATGATCAAATTCACTTCTGGTTAGAAAAAAAAAAATTAAAATGGAGATGTCACTTTACAACTATTTTCCTGGTATAAAAAATATTAACAAAATACCAATGATGTTCACAAAAAAGTAAGGATACAGGAACCCTGATGTACAGTTAAGAGGCGTGTATATTGGTGCATCCATTATGCAATGTGATCTGGAAACATTTGGTCAAGTTAAATGTATGCATGCCCCAAGATTCAAAATGTTTGTCACTAGAAAAAATTTCACACTGAGGTACTTGTAGTGGAAATAAGTAGTAGGCAACCTACTTTCCATTGCTAGGAAAGCATATAGGTAAATTATGACATATGGATACCACAGAGTAGTGTTACTCAATGTATGGTCCCTGGACCAGCACCAGTCGTTGGACTCTCTATTTCCACTCTATGATGTGATAACTATTGAAAGTGAGATTGAGAATCTAAAACTATTACAGAATTTTGACAATGCTGAGAATTTTTTATTGCTATATGCAAAAATATTGGTCCACAACATATTACAAATTTTACAAAGAAAATGGTCCCTTACCATAGATAACTTGATAAACACTCTACTTGGGCATGAGTTCATGATGGCCAGAGCAGAATTACTAAGGAGGCAGAAAGAGTAAGATGAGAATACAGAAATAAATTAGAGCAAGATTATATAGAAATTTATGGGTAACTCAAGATTTTCATACATAATAATTTGTATTTATGTAAATTGGGATTTGTGAATTAAAATGTATGCAGCATAAAAGAAAGCTTAATTTTTAAGAGTATGCTTTTACATGTTCCCTAATTGATATATTTAAGAAATATATTTAAGAAAAATTAAATTCTTAATATAATTAGGAAGTCAGCTTGCACCCTGAGAACAAAGAAACTGATCCATGGCAATTTCCCCAAAGTATAGATCTAAATTATCTAAGTCAGATGTCAAGGTATAAACTTTAAATGCAGAGTCAATTATTCCATAGAAAATATCCTCTGACTCCACTGTGAAACCAAATATTATATCATTGCCAATTGCAGAATTAAGTTAAAGGATCACGTGGTCTTAGCTTTCTCTGCTCTTATTTCTTGGCACCTTTTCAGATGACACTTAATCTTTGCTAGCTATGGAACAAAACAATGGCACTGAAGTAACTGAATTCATTCTCCTGGGATTTGATGGTCAACGCAAGTCTTGGCATATCCTCTTCATACTATTTCTAGTGATCTATGTGGCCACCCTGGTGGGTAACATGGGGATGATCCTACTCATCAAGAATGATTCTTGCCTTCACACCCCGATGTACTTCTTCCTCCAACACTTGGCATTTGTTGATCTCTGCTATACCTCCGCTATCACTCCCAAGATGCTGCAAAACTTTGTAGAAAAAGAACAATCCATCTCATTCATAGGATGTATGGTGCAATTACTAGTCTACGGTGCTTTTGCAACAATTGACTGCTACATCCTGGCTGCAATGGCAGTGGACCGGTAGTGGCCATCGGCAACCCACTCCACTATCCAACAGTCATGTCCCAGACAGTCTGCATTCAGCTCCTGGTTGGTTCATACTTCATAGGCTTCCTGAATGCCTCAGTAAACACAAGTTTTACTTTCTCATTGAACTTTTGCAAATCCAATAAAATTAACCACTTTTTCTGTGATGAACCCCCACTTCTTGCCCTCTCGTGCTCTAACATTGACTTCAACATCATGTTAGTAATGGTCTTTGTGGGGTTTAACTTGATGTTCACTGTGCTGGTTGTCATCTTTTCCTACATACATATCCTGGCTGCCATCCTGATGATATCTTCTGCTGCAGGGAGGAAAAAATGCTTCTCCACATTCATCTCCCACCTGACAGCCGTCACTGTGTTCTACGGGACTCTCTCTTACATGTACTTGCACCATAGGACAAAGGAGTCTCAAGAGCAAGAAAAAGTGGCTTCTGTGTTTTATGGCATTATGATCCCCATGTTAAACCCCCTCATCTACATCCTGAGAAACCAAGATGTAAAGGAAGCCCTAAAAGGGATTAGAAAGAAGTGCTTCTAGTTTGATCATTTGTTGTCTATAAGGCCATATATTTAAAGATATTTATTGCAGCATTGTTTGGGAAGACAAGACCAAGAAAGTGAGAATTCCTCAATAGGGAAATAAATCTGTATTGTTGTAATTCCAAAATCTGTATCTATTGCTTCATAACAAATTTCTACAAATTTAGGGGCTTAAAAACATGATGATTATATTATAGTTTTATGGGTCAAGAATGTGGACACTGCCTAACTACATCCTCTGAGATGCTACAATCAAGGTGTCAACCAGGACTGGGAACTCATCTGGAGGCTCAAGTGGGGATGGATCCGCTTCCAAGCTCCCTCATGTTATTGGCACAATTTATCTCCTTGAAGTTGTAAGACAGATTCCTGCCTTCCTGTTGGCCATGAGCCAGAGGTTGCTCCCAGCTCTTAGTCTATCCACAGTTCTTATCCATATGACCCTCTCCATAACCTCTCTCATAACATGGCAGCTTACTTCAAAGCCAGGAAGCCATATACAGTTAATCAGTGTATATACCATGTAAAACAGCACACCTTTATATGCCCAAATTGTACTGCTACTTCAAGAGTCAGTCTCTCCCTGAAGTTTTCCCAGCTTAGCACTTGTTTCCTACCAACTTTCTACCCCTGGAGATAATTCCTTCTTCCACTGAATACTCATAGCACTTTATTTGCAGCAATAAATATTATTTATTATTTATCACTTCCCCTCTACATTATTTACTTATCTATAAGACCCTCACTATTATTTATAAGGTAGTTGAGATACATAGTCTTTCTATAACCCTTTAACATCTGGTATAGAGACTTAGACACAGTAGGTAGTCTATAAATATTGAATGAAGAAATGGTGATAAAATACAATAATATGGACAGTTTTCTAACTGGAAGTTATGTGAGTATGTACCCTATACTAGTGGTCTTTAAATACCAGTCTGTGGACAGCAGCATTCAAGTGACCAGGAAAAGTTTTTAAAATACAAATAATTATAGCCTAGCCCTGGAGGTATTGATTCAGTAACATTAGTCAGAGCCAAATATCTATAATTATCTATATATGCAGAGTGTTTCTTTAGTTGCATGGTCCACAGGAAAGTAGTATTTAAGAGCACAGGATTTTGAATGGTTTAGTATGTCATTGATATCCCAACCCTGCCACTCACCAGCAGCGTCCCTTTACAGGTTAGTTGGGCTTTCAAACCTTGCTTCCCATACTAGTACACATCTCATGAGATTCTTTTGTTTGCCGGTTCATTAGTAATAAATAGGTAAGCTAATGAATAGAAATCATAGTACGTGGCACTAATAAACTCTCAATAAATGTGAATCATAAATGAGTATTAACAAGGATTATTTCAACATGGGTGTGGCAGACATAAAAATGCCCTCATTACACACACACACACACACACACAGAGTCAATAGAAAGTCTCCCAAGGTTTTCAACATGAAAACTTTCCCCTTTGGGAAACTCCGCTCTCCTTCAGCAGAAAGCTAACTAATGAAGGTTGTTTTCTTTGATCCTATCTCAGCATCTAGAGTCACAGATGCTCAAAGGAACAGGTACTACCCCCATAGACCTCAACTGTAAACTCTCTTTGTGGAGAAATCACTTGGTGAAAAATTAGCCTGCACTAGCCTGGGGGAAAAAATCTCAAGACAAATCCCCTGTAAATAAACCAAATTGCATTTTTCCTATTCTGCTGTACATTATTTTGACAGATAGGAACCGTAGTAAAATCTATAGGATTAGAGCCAATATGCCAATATAATTAACTCCAAGGCTGGGTAGAGTCATCTTATCTTCAGCAAACTAAAAAATATAAATGGAGAGGGACGCCTGGGTGGCTCAGTCAGTTAAGCATCTGCCTTCAGCTCATGTCATGATCCCGGGATCCTGGGATTGAGCCCCATGTCAGGCTCCCTGCTCAGCGGGGAGTCTGCTTCTCCCTCCCCCTGCTCCTTCTCTGTCTCCTGCTCATTCTCTCTCAAATAAATAAATAAAATCTTTAAAATATATATATAAATGGAGAGAGGAATTCTCAATTATATCGAGAAGTTATACAATGACCAGGGAGATGACAGCTGGCATTTTAGCCATAATGTTCCCAACTGAACTTAAACAACTTTTATAGAATATAAGCAATAATAAGACAAAGCCACTCCATGACTGAGAAAAGGCCACTCTGTGACGATGTCTGAAACAAAACATGAACAAGAACTCTTGACAGCTAAAAAAGTAGCTAAACATTCCACTTTCCAACTAAAATGAGTAAACACTTCTTCCCTAAACACTTTTAATTTCTCTCTTTTTAGATACCAATTGCAAAAATATCTAATCACCAAATTCCTGATAACACTCAAACAGAATTTGCCTCCACTTCCTAAATCCTTTTTAGAATCACCCAGCACAGGCCTAAATCCTACAAAAGTCTTCTCAGTTTCCTCTCATTCAACGCTATAGTCGCTCTGAGGTGTGAGGTGGTCTTCCTCATGGTAGCACGTGAAAGAAGCCTAACTTCGCCTGACACATAAGTGCTCCTGGTGCTTGTTGGCTACTGCGCATTGATGGTGTGAACTGTGCCATGTGCTTCTCTTATCTCTCTTGAATCTGGCTTCTTTCTGTTATTAATTTTCTTATCTCAAAAGAAATTATGTGTCCATTTTTTTAAATATAGCTGGTTTTAAAGTTAAAAAGAGGGAGCCTCTGTTACCCTTATTTCTACTCCTCAACTTACTTAAGTTTATCATATATTCTTCCAGATGGTGTTTTCTACATAAGTGCACACACACACACAGAGTTTTAATTAAAAATCACTTCACATCCCACACATTTTTCTGTAAAATGCTTTACTCCCTAAGAGTATGTTATTAACATTTTTCCTAAGAATACATATAGATCTATCTCATTATTTTTAGGTGTTTCATGGAAGTACAAACTACAGATTAACTCTTATTTATTTTAGCATCAATCTACCTACTGCTTATATTTTGATATCAAAACAATAATGCATAGAATCCCCTGGGTTTAAAGTAAATTTTTTCCATCTCATTTTATCAAAGATTAAACGGAGGTTGAGGGAAGTTACAGCTGTTGCCCAAGATCACATACCTATTGAATAGTAGTTTCAAGATTCAAATCTAGATCTTTCCCACTGCAAAATCTATCTACTTTTCATTGCAGGTAGTATAAAATAAAACTTCAAGGTGGCTTGGACTTAATATAGTTTGGACAACTTCAAAATACTTGCCCCTTCCAGAACTTCTACTTCTGGCCAAGATGGAGTAACAGGGATTGGATATATCCTTCTACTTGAAACATGAAAAAGTGGACAAAATCTATAAAATAACAGTTTTAAGACACATCAGGCAATAAAGGATAATGATTCTTGAGAGGCAAAAGCAAATAAGCTCTAAAATTTCCCGAGGTTTCTGCCTTAAGAAAGTTTCCAGATCACAGTGCAGAGAGGTTAGTAGACTTCCTAAAGGAAATGGAGCTGAAAATCTGGAGAGACCAAGGCAACTAGAATTTGCAGGACAGGATACTAAAGAAAAGGAGTTGCACAGAGAGAAAACCCTGGATGTGCAGAGGGTCCCCCTTAATTATTTAGCTGAGTACTGTCAGTACACCACATCAGGAAAGAATTTGAGGTTAGAGAAGGAAATACTGAAAAGATTATAGATAACAGCACTTGATGCTCACATGAGGCTGGGAATAGTGCTGCTCTCACTAACCAGACTGGAGAACTTTCAGGAGTCATGATGCATTGGATAGACCACACAGAAAAAACTTGCCTCGGTAGTGGAAATAATTAGCCCTAAACTGAACAGTGCTCCTGTTCCAACTAACAAATCTACAAAGCAAGACTCAAAAGTATTGTACTGTTTGGGGGAGAGGGGTTAATGGGTGATGGGCATTAAGGAGGACACTTGTTGTAGTGAGCACTGGGTGTTATACATAAGTGACAAATCATTAAATTCTACTCCTGAAACCAATACTACACTATATGTTAACTAACTTGAATTTAAATAAAAACCTGGGGTGGGGAAAAGTATCCTATTCTTTCCAAGTCACTTAACTGTATTCCAGACAAAGCTCAAGAATATTTATAAGAATACAAAAATATCTATCACTAAACATGGTAAAATTCACAGATGCCTAGCATCCAATCAAAAATTACCATTCACACAAAAAGCAGGAAAATACAACCATAATGAGAGAAAAATCAATGGTCAAAACTGAGAACTGCCAGAGATGTTGGAATTAGCCATCAAGAACATTAAAACAATTATTGTAACTGTATTCCATATGTTCAAAAAAAGTTAAGAAGGGGTTTGAAAGATCAGGTAAAGACTACAATGTCTGATTGTAAAATGCGATGGGATTAACTATAGATTAGCCATTCCAAAAGACATGATTCGTGATCATGAAGACACAGCAATAGAAAGCATCCAAATTAAGAGAAAGGTGAATCAAAAGAAAAATGCACAGCACATCAGTGAGCTGTGGAACAACTTCAAGAAAGTTTACATCTGTGTAATTGGAGTCCCTGAAGGACAGGAAAAACAAGGTTGATATAAAAAAAATTTTTGAAAGAGGGCGCCTGGGTGGCTCAGTTGGTTGGGCGACTGCCTTCGGCTCAGGTCATGATCCTGGAGTCCTGGGATCGAGTCCCGCATTGGGCTCCCTGCTCGGCAGGGAGTCTGCTTCTCCCTCTGACCCTCCCCCCTCTCATGCTCTCTCTCTCATTCTCTCTCTCAAATAAATAACTAAAAAATCTTTAAAAAAAAAATTTTTTTGAAAGATAATGCTGAGAATTTTGTAAATTTGATGAAAACTGGAAACCCACAAATTCAAGATCCACAAAAAAACTCCATGCAAAAATGACACCAAGACATATCAAAATCAAATGGCTCAAAACCAGGAATAAAGGGAAATCTTAAAAACATTCAAGCAAAAAAAAAGACACATTGTGAATAGCAGAACATGAGTAA